AATGATTCAATCATTAATCAATGAAAGATATTTTTGATACAAGATATCGAAGTCACGTTTAGACATTGATCAAATATCTAAACCGTGAATGTGTAAATGGAGAATGAGAAGAGCTTTGAAAGGCACGAAGACGATGGTGGGATGGTAAAAAATTCACATACATCGCATAATAACTCGTTGGCCAATGACTCCAATTTCATGTCTCTTTCTTCGTGGCCTCCAATAGAATGAATTATTCAACAAATAGATTCGAATAGAATACTATGCTATGTGTTGTATGGGATCAACGAAAGATTGTTTCGTTATTGTTGAGTTTCTTCTTTGGCCGTCTTCCGTTTCGCTCGTGCGTCAGATATGACGCATATATTCTTGCCTTTCTCGTCACGAGTGACTGACTTTCTTTCTTCTTGCGAAAGACAACATGAATCATTTGTTACTATCGATTTTGTTCATGAATTGCAACATATTGACGCAAAATTTGATGATAATAAAAAAAACAAAGACAGATAAAATAAGTTATGCTGGAATGAATCATGTTAAAGTAAAAATCACATGTAAATAATAAAAAAACAAACATAGTTGTATAGATAAATAGATATTTTACTATTTTTCAGAGCCGAATGCTAATAGAATTGCAACGAAAAATGTGCTGTAGTGAAAGTACTGATAATTCATGAAAGACAAGTTCATGTGAGAATTTACAAAAACAAATATGATCAAAGACCGTCTCAAGTAGACCTAAAAATATTGAGATTAGGCTCTATATTTGACAAGGACGACAAATTTGGCTTAGGTCTTGTTTCGTTATTGAGAGAAGGATTTGATTATTGGAAATTAATGACTTTCGATTATGAACAGATTAGTCCAACTGATTTTGACGCTATGAAATATAGAAAAATTAGTGCACTTCTACACAACACACACGTTCTCATCCGTGTTTGCAGCTGTGATCTTAATCATACACACCAAATCGCATCTGTGTATTAGTTAGAACCAACTTTAATCATAAAGACAAATATCAAACTAAATAAACAAACATACGTTCTTAAACTGTAACAACATCAATCTATTCGTTACCAGAAGTATTAAAGACAGGATATGGGTGTAAAGGACAAGAACAACAACGCCCACATCCACACTCTATCCTATGCCCTCAAAGGGAAAATGTTCAGAACATATTCTACCAAACAGAAAAAACCGATGATACATTAGGCAGTTAGTTTGACCTCAAGTTTCGAATTTATGATAAGACAGAAGCATTTATTTTAAAATGAATGAAACTTTTTTTTTGAAAATAAGTAAAAGTGCAATGATTAACATTGAGTATAAATGAGTACGAGTTCTTTATTGATATCATATTGAGTTCATGAGTATTGTTTCAAAGTATGACATTTGAAGTAGCCATTTCATGGATGAAAATTTCTTTTGCCTTGGCCTTTCCACACTGCTATATCACAGTTCAAGTTTTCTGTAACATTACATGGTATTTTGTCATTGTTACATAACTTGAAATTGACTTGATCAATCTGTCATAAGCCAATGTCAAATATGCCATTTTTTTATAATCTTACCCTTTTTTATCTTAGGTTCATTGCAGTCCTTTGCATTTCCATTACCAGTTGATATTCGTGGTTAACAATACATACACAGCAAGCTTGATTTCATTTAGTGAATTACTAGCACGCACTTTTTTGGACCTTGTTTGTTTGCAGTTAAACCACATGGACAGGAAGGACAATTTGTCCTAATTCCACAGTTACCACCATAGGTAGGATCTGTTCTTTGGTCATCAGCTGAATCATCATTATCAGCATAATCGTCTCCTGCCCAGTCATCTGTTCTCTGTGTGTATACTTCAGAGATTTTCAACATAAATAATATAGTAAATAAAACTTTTAATGTCATATCCATATTGTTAAACGAGCTAAAAGAAATTGGATGGATTCAATTTTAATTTTTATCGATATATTAGTTTTAAATGTACTCTTCGCCTAATACTAGAGCTAAACGATGATATAGCATTTATAAAAGTTTGTCAGCGCAACTTTAGATGAGGCTAACATGTGGAACACACATGCAATCATTTTAATGACCACAGCAAATTTTAACGTGGCAGAAATCTCTTTAGAAAATCAGAATAGATTGAAGCAAACAAGTCTCAATCTAGCTATTCATTTCAGACATTTTCGATATTCTTCAATAGGCTATATGCTCTTCTTTCAAATTCTATCATTTCTGTGTTACTTTGAGTTATTTTCGTTCATCAATTTCTTGTCGTTAAAATTGTCTTCGATATTGTTTTTATATCTTGTTCTGACTGATTCACCTTTTACTGTATGTCAAAATACTCATACCATACTTTCGCATATCTTTGCGAGTCGAAAGAACGATTTCTATCGTTTTTGTATCGATGTTCGTTCATTTTCGTTGAATAGAAATAACTTTCAGTATTTGTTCTTCTGTCTTCACAAGCATATTGAAATATTTGAGTAAGATATCTGAGAAAGGTGACGAAAGCAGAAAATTTTTACATAGAAACTTGTAGTAACTAGTTTCATAATGAGTTCCGCAAAATTACTTGTTTAAAAAAAGTCTTAGTGCTAGTAATTCGACAATTGTCAGTTTTTGCATATTTGCTTACGCAGTGAAAATAAAACGGGTGATCACAAATGAGCAACGTTGTCTTATATGTGGAAAATGTTTTTAATGAATTTTCATACTATCAAGCTCAATAGAACATTCTAGTTTTCGTGCAATTCAAACAGATTGCGTAAAAACTTTATTTTTTATGAGATTCAACTTTTGTACGATTTTGATATATTTTACATCAATCTTTCGCCCAGATATTCAAATTGAATGATGACTGACATATCTCTATGGAAACATGTGTCTATAACAACTATACAGTCTCATGGTTCGTTTGAAAAATTTCCATAATAACACATATTTTAGAACACTTTTGATAGCTTTATAAAAGTAACCTGTTGAACATTATTTTGAATTGGTATCTACACTCTTACGCGGAAATAATCACAAGTATCGGTCGATCTATAAATAGATAGTAGTACACGTTTCTCGAAATTTTCAATCCACTGAGGTTTCGAAAAAGTTCGAATTAATCCATTTTGACCGGAAATTATGTTCTTCGAGATGTTTAGCAGTCTTAAAAAGATTCTGAAAAATCTCACTACCTATTATGGATTAATTCAACTGATGTATTTCGAATGCGAGTTAGTCTACAAGAAGCAAAACGCCAATATAGAACAAATGAGAAATATATGCTATGACAAACTGGAGAGTAACTTCATCGATATCCTCTTGATTGAGGTACTTCATCACTTCAGTATTATCTATATCAGTACAAATACATGCTTATATTACCTCTCTTGTTTTATTCCATTTCAAATTTAATTCAATTTGATATGACATTGGTAAGTTATTTAAGTTTAAAAATTGTGATATTTTATGTCTGATTGAGATACTTCCTCAGACATTAAAATTATGACAAAATTTCTCCATCACTAATGTACTTTATGAGACTCATTCTTAATGATACCGTATGAGGACACCTTTCAACTATTAGTTTATGAACATACAGGATCTCATAATAGTGAAGAAGCTCTCACATGGCTAATCTTAACATGATACTGTTTCAGAGATTCATTCATTCCATCTCTTCGAATATTTCAAAAATTTTGTAAATCTTACAATCTGAAATCATGCTGCTTGTGCCTTCTTTCGTTGCTCTAAATAAATTTTCAAGAAACACGATATTCGAAGTCGCATAATATATTCTAATTATGGTATTTAATGTTTAATTTATAATATTGTTCAAGAAATGCAAAGTTGTCATTGAGTCACAACGTAGCAATGTTCGTTTCAGTTTGATAGTTTGTCAATTTAATCTGATGAAAGATTTCTTTTTTTGTTTTCATATTTATTTGATAACTAATGAAATTCTAGGAACTCACGCTTTTCCACATTATTATGCAAAATCTACGATAAGTTTAAGTCGCAAAATTAAAAATGACATAAAGTCAATGATGTCCAGTTACAAAAGTCTATGAAAAGATAATAATGAATCAAAAAAAAAGCAGATTATTCATCAGCTGTTGATGTTAATTGATCGTCAACCGAGATGGTGGGTTCCGGTGGGTGTTCAGGTGGTTTTACACCTGGTGGGTACATTTGCAATGCGCCTGTAAGAAAGGAAATTTTGACAAATTTGTTATCAGGTAGAGCGATCTAAAATATCAACAGGAAAGTGATTAATACGATATTCTATGATTTGTATTTTATACCTTATAATCATGAATCGTGCCACAGGCTTCGATATGACGAACACGCACTGGTTTCAGCTCAAAATTAGCTGGAACTGATGGATGTTTTTTTCGAACTTCACTATTAATAGAATTCTTATACTAAAAAAGTTGATGTACCAATACAGAGAAAATCCATAAAAGAAAATAAATATATTGATTTACCTTGTTGAACAATTCCATGTCTGTATTCGTTACTGACTTATAATTAAATGGAGAATCAGCCATCTTGATTTTTGCTTTTATCAAATGTTATGAAGAAATGAATACATGCCTAGTGTATTTATATAGAACTCAATCGATTTTCTTTTTTGCGTTCTTTCCTTGTAAAAATTATGTAGTCGTTGGCGATTGTACCGCCTCATGCAAACATAAACAACTATTCATAGGTACTCAAAACTGTTATCAATGTAACCTTGAAAATAGACATGAAACAATTATTTTACCAATTATGTGCATGAATAAGCACAACATGTATATTATTATTTTTTATTGATCAACAAACATAAAAACGTATATATCGAAGAGCAAAACATTGAAAGAAAAACATCGATATAATAAAATTTGTTATATTTTCAATTCAAGTACATTGAGAAAAAAATGTAAAGTAGATACAAAATAATGAGTTTAATTTTTATATTTCATATCTTTAGCGAGCAAGAGAAACAATGCTTGTAAGTGTTCTTGAACATCAATTTTTACATTAATGAATGCAGTTGAATGTATTTTAAAGGAAGGATTCTTGAAAAACAACTCGTGATGTCCAAAATTTTGAAGAATTTCTGTTTTTATCTCAATGGATTTTAGTATTTTATTGGTTTTTTTGCTTATATATTCTAGAAAAACAGTTCTTGAACTCTCTCTTCCAATAGTGGGGACATCGAGACACTTGTAGTTTTTACTCTATTTTGCATGTATATGCAGATCAGAAGAGAAAAAACTCAATGAATACCAAGAGAAATAGTAATCAAGGTCCTGGCTACACAAAGAAAAATAATTATATATATGCATGTGCAGACAGATTGCTGATTGATAGGGTAAAAGAACGAATAAGACTTGTATATGATTCATATTTGTTCTTCTACTCCTTCAATGTTGATGTGTATCCGTTGACATAATGTATTGCAACGTTTCTTTTTATGATTTACCATTTCAACATTTTCACTTTTCATGCTTGGCATCCTACTTGTTTCGAAAGGATGTACGTTTGGGTTCTAGTAAACAGAATATTCATATGTACAATCTAAAACAAGTCGACTAGATATAGATTTAATTCAAATTGCATAGGCATTATAATAGAAATATTTGAATGTTACCAAAAGTACTCGTCCTTGTTTTGATGTAGTCTATCGTTGAATTATGTCACTCATTTGACATCGAACGTTTGATTTAGTTGACAGTTGTAGATACCACATCCGTATGAAACCATCCAATCTTTTATTATAACACAAGGTCATTACTCTCTTATCAGTTTTATTATAACATAAACAAAACACAGAAAAAAACATTCATTTCTTACATATCAAACGAGTTCTTTTCTATTTTTACATCGTACCAGCCTGCATGTGTTTGCTCATAGCAAATAAAATGCACTTACTAATTTGTTTTTGAGTTCAATAGAATTTTATTTTATTAGTAAGAAACACTAAACGATACATCATCATCATCCATTCAGCTTTAATATGGAAAACAAACAATTCATGATATGTATTAAATTAATGGAAAAAAAATTATATAATGGAATTCTTGAGAAATGTATGTTACTCACATACACAGATTTCTTGTCAAGTGTACACATTCTATCTTCACTATATTTACTGTCAAAAGCACGGCATTTTCAAAAAGATGTGGAAACATTAATATTTATTCTACGTTTCTTAGGAATAATCGAACTCTAATCAAAGGTCATATTAATTCAAATATATATCTCACGTGCATAATGATGCATCTTTTAAAAGTCTATCGGTCAATTTTTGCTCTTATTGACTCAGTCTATTCGAATATATTTAAAGCTCTTCATCAGGTTTTTTTCTAGTAATTTATTACACTCGTCTTTGTTTTTCGTATTGCAATATTTATTTGTGTATTTGCAGCTATAATAAGTGATTTTTATTCATACTATTGTATATCATTTATTTTATTGTTACATGATATGAACATCATTTAGCTTGGTTGATATTGATATTAATGTTTTATTCGTATGAGTATTGCACAAAGATGAGGTCAGCATAAGAGAAATGTGCAGTGGGTAGAGGCCATCAAATCCGAAACTAGTCTACAAAAAATTTTTAGAACCAAACCCGATGAGCCTAGCAGTAGCAGAGTTGGGCAAATCATAGATTTTCCAACTCGCAAGGGTGTGAGTGCTTGAAATGACTCCTCAGATCGACGAATTCTACCTTTCAATATACTAACTTTAGTCTCTTTACTCTCCCTTTTCTATTCTATGCGTTTCTTTATAAAATTTTTCTCCTTTATAATATATTTTCTTTTCATTATAAATAATAAAGAAATTGCAACCGAATAGAACATATTTTTATTATTGAAACGTTTCGTCAACTACTGTTGACTTCGTCAGTCAAAAAATAAAAGAAGTTACATGAATGAGGAAAAAAACACATATATATAGACAGAAAATGAGATAGGTTAATTAGTAGAACAATAAGAAAATAACCCTCCATGAATATACCATTAAATCGCCAAAGGATGCTGTTCCATAACTATAAACTTGAGAATTTAAACAATATGATTCTTGAGAAGTAAATTGAAATTCTTTTTGTAAATGACGATAGCCAACTTTGCCTTATACCACTGTTTTAGAATTAGGTAATAATGCATAATGTCTTGATGCATTACCAAATGTATAATCAACGGATGAAGCTTCATGTTCAATTTGAATAGTATTACTTGCTTTTAAGATAGACCATTCATATGGATATTGAGGTAATGACTAGAAATCATTTGTACAAGACGATTCAAAATCACAAGTACATAAAACTTTTGATGGTAAAGGGCGTGGTCTATCACAATAATCGACAGCAATATCATTAAATGCTATAAGTCCTTCTGTAAAATTTAATTGTATGGACACTTGAATTTTCTCATTTGGTAATATTACATTGACCAATGTCCAATCATTAATTGGCGGATCTTTACCTGTAATCGAAGCTGGAATACGTATCAATTCTTTACCATCACCTTGTGCAAGTTGAATATTGAATGAAAAATTTCTAAGAGCGGTACATTCGAAAACATTGAGTTCGGTCAGTTGAAGGTTGTAACAACGTTCTTGTGCTTATTTCAGCTGTTCCAAATGACCGAATATTTTTTGGATTGTAGAAAACATAATGACCAGCATTTGTCTGTAATGTATAATCATGATCGATAGGAAAAGGATGAAGATCATCTGTTAAACCCTAATCATCATCAATATAAAAATCAATACAAATTGTTTCAAAGTCACATTGAAAAATAGTTGCCTGATTTAGAAATATGTTACAAAGAAAAATAAATAAAAATGAACACATTTTATAATAACTATTTGTGCTTTACAATTAGTTATTTATATAGGTGATGAAATTTAGAATATTGCATGTATGTTATGCAAAAGGTCACTTTGAAAGATAACAACAACAAAGTATTTTTGGAAATTCTCTTGTCTTTTTATTCTAGATGGTATTACTTGTGTATAATTTATTTTATGATGAAAGTTATCAAAGACAAACACTAGAAAGACGTAAACGAAATGAATCATATGATGCAAAGTGGTATTTGATGAATTTTCTCCAATTCACTTATACTAATCTAAAACCTGATTGAGTTTTGCTTTAATTGATGATAAATTCTTACCAATAAAGGCAGTTGTAATTTTAATATTGTACGATTTTCATCATTCATATAAGTTGAGTCGACAGCAACAGTACGTTCATTTGGATTCTCAACAGTTCCATATTCATTATTAATAAAATAAAGTATTCGAAGTATTAGATTAAGTTAATAGTTTAGTTATATAACGTCTACTACTTTTTAAAATTCATGTACAATCATGAATAAGATCAGCAACATAAAGATTTTGACCAATCCAATCAATAGCAATACTACTAAGAATTTTTAAATGATTCGTATCTTCGCATAGAAATGTTTAAGGATATGCTGTTCATATTGAAATTGGTGTACGATGTGCACGATAAATTTTTGATGTAGATTCATCCATTCAATAGAATATCCGATGATTTAAATCAATAGAAATAAAGCTAGCATCATATTGATCTTCAATAAGTACACCATAATGTGATGCATTTTCTATGGAGTTTCGAGGAAAGCTGTGAGTAAGAATGGGGAGAGGGGGTACGACTGTGGGGTGGTGGATTGTATTCACAGAAAATCTACATCCATACTTTACACTCATCAACATTTGTTTCTTGAAAGAAAACGCCTCAACAACGAAATCCTACTGCACTAAAAACTAAGGGTGAGGGTGAGACTAACGAGGGAACCGTTCCAACTGATAAATCGCTTTTTTAATGAAAGCTGGTGGGTTATAGGTTATCGACTATGCTGATTCCGAATATGAGTATGAGGAGTGCCCTTAGGCCTTCATAGGGTGGGTTTCTGGAAAACCAGGTCTTCAGAAAACTAATTTAAATGAAATTTTTGTTTTTGATCTGCTCAGATTATAGAGCACATTGAGTTGCCTATAAATCAATAGTTTTTCCTGCTTTGCATGGATTGTCTTGAATAAACAACATTAAACTTTCCTATTTGTACAGTGAAATGCTAGTAATATGCATCTACTATGTGAATTCCATTGACTGTATGTCATCGTAAAATCTATTTGAAACAAAAGAAAATATCGATTAATAGACAACTTGATGTGCTTTATAACCTGAGCAGGTCAAAAACAAAAATTTAGTTTAAAGTTGGTTTTCTAGAAAACCATCCTATAAAGGCCTAAGGGCACTCCTCATACTCATATTCGAAATCAGCATAGTTGATAACCTATAACCCACCAGCTTTCATTAAAAAAGCGATTTATCAGTTGGAACGGTTCCCTCGTAAGCTGACTAAAGACATTCATGCACATTTACATACCCACACCAACAGCCACACCCTCAGATGTTAGTATACGCATTGACTATATTGTTCTAAGACTACTTCTTACTAACGATGGTCTCTCTCTTTTCACAGAATAATATCTGCTTCTTTCACGTTTCACGCAGTGTGAAATCAATGAAATAAACTTGTTTACTAACAATATGCATTGTACGAAAATCGGGTCTTCTAATTTATCAATGACTTTATTTTTTTCAACTATGTTTAGATTTGACATGATATAAATGATCAAAAAATCGTTGTTAGATGTTGATCAGTTCTAGATATTTCTAATAAACTCAACAGATTAGAAGGAATTTCTTCGAGAATAATTCGATGACAAATTATCCTTTGTCTCAATAAAACTGCAATGGTTTTTTAATTAGATTTTAATGATGTCATCGAGGTAGACTTCTTTTTAACTAGTTTACTATTATAATAACGATAATGATTATAGACGAAACGTACTTTATCTTCTAATTCATAAATACTTATTGTAAGCCTCTATATTACTGAAAACAACAATAAACTATTTGATCATATTTTTATAGTGCATCAAAGAACAAATAGCGTCGTTTTATGGAAAAAATAAACAATAGAAAATAATAATCATTTATTAAAATAAAAACGAACGTTTGGTAAAATGTCGTAGTGGATGAATGAGAGAAATATCAATGAAACTGTTATTGAAAATTACTTTTCTTAGTTCTTAATATTAAGAATCTACTCAGTAGCAAATACTCGAACTTTGTCATTTTCTTTTACACATTTAATTCGATCGAAACAAGGATGCATTTGATGCATACTTGTTAAATTACCAATTGGATCATCTCTAGGCAATATTTCTCTAATATAACAATCAAATCGAGATAAATGATGCAGTCGATTGATCAGACCATTTGCTAAATGGATAAACGGCATATTATATACTGTTTGCAAATACAAATGTTCAAGGTTGGGTGTATAAGTAAGAATATTGTCAATATCATTGAAAGTAAGTTCAGTATAATTACTCCAAAGAGTTAGTCGTCGAAGTGAATGATTAACTGGCGAAGACAATGTGATAGTATTATCATTGTTATACAAAATACGAACTTGAAGATGATGAAGATTAGGACATACAGCAAGAATGGATGGAATAGACATTAGTTTACAAGAAAGAATTGATACATATTGAAGAGAAGGTGATGTAGTCCATAAATTATAGGTGGACTCATCGATACAACTCATATTAACATAACGAAGAGATGAAAATTTATTGGAGAACACATCACAAATTAATTGCCGTGGTAGAGTGAACTCAGATCCTAACAAAAAAGATAGATGAGTTAGATTAGGAATAATTTTCGATTGAATCTGTTGCAGATATTTTGAGTTGCTATTACATAATATTAATATACGTAAATTAGAAAATTGACTTAAATCACAATCGATGAATGTTTGAATTATTAATCGATTTACGTAAGGAGAATATAATTTCATCAATAATGGATTGACATTTTCGTCGAAAGTAAGAGATAGATTTTGACAGGTTAGAAAAATATTGTTCAGTCGTGAATTGAGTCCCCAAAACGCACTATATAAATGTTGAATGTCAATGAAAGTGAATAAATAGAAAAGTAATTCGTTTGGAAGTTGTTCTAATGTTGTACATGCATCTAAAATATATTCGAGAGAGTAAAATTAATTAGATCAATAATAAGATAAAATGTAGCCATACTTTGAAATCTTTATTTTTAAAAAGTGATTCTGATCTATTCTAGTGATTTGGAAATAATTCTTCTAAAGCTTGATGATATTATCGAAATATTTAAATAATAGAATGTTCAATATCGTTTTAATCTTAGTTTTAGACGCTATCTTCATTTAATAATACACTTTAGAGTGAAAAGTTTATTAGTTGAAGATCCTTTCATTTTTTTTTATTTAAAGGTTTCGATCATTTGCTGATAATAGGAAAACAAGTTTCACTTACGGTCTTGAGTATATTGGACATCATCCGTATTCTGCAACACTTTGGTATCGTTATTTGTATTGTGAATAGTAAATGTCACTTGCTTTCTATCTGTCTTCAGCTTCTAAAATAAAATATAAATGTCTTATTCGAATATCTGTTATTCGAACGCTGATTCTATGAAATATGAATTCGATTTTTATTCTGTTAGTCTACGATTGTATAGTTAAATTTCAATATGAATCTATAGAGTTGTTCGGAAACAATTAACTCTTTCATATAAGGTATACCCGAGATGATTTTTGTGAAGATAATCTTGTGTTTTCATCTAATGAAGATATAGACTTGTCATCAACAAAACCAGCACTACGATCTCTAGCTGAATCTAAAAGTTTTCGTGTTTTTTTTATGTTGAAATCAGGCACAATATTGAAAACCTTACCAATTACTAATTTAACCGAATTCGTTGACAACTTTTCACAATCATTACGTGAACCTGACAATGAATGAAATTCTTTTTAAGTAATGTTCATGTATAATAACAAACCTTTAAAAATAATTCGTCCTTTCTGATAATGTGCCTCTGTTTCGATAAAACAGATATCGTTTACACTAGTAAAATCAGGAGCTTTGAAAATCGCTGATTGAGGTACTGTAGAAACTATCTTGCTGTTTTCCCACTGTACAGCACAAAAACTTTCATGATAAATAGAAATCCCTGATGTATCTGTATTAGAGTTCGATGCTACAATTAAATCAATAATTGAAGTAATAATTAGGCTACAAAAGACGGTTAGATGTATGTTAATTACTTGATATAGCATATATAGGTTTCAAATGTTGGACAGTTGAAAGATCACTTTGCAATAGTTTTCCTGTAGATCTGTAGTGGATGTACGTCGCTGGACTACAGACAAGCATTTGAACTGGGAGATGTCGATTAGTGTTGAAACGTTTGTCAACTTGATATGGTGTATCTTTTTCAATATTAGTATCGTTTAGTGCAATGATTCGATCAAAATTTTTGATGCCTGCTCGATACGCCAAACTTGATTTCCAATCGCCATAAAATTTGACATAATGAAAACGTTCTTTTCGATGATAGCATGAAAAGAAGCCTAGCTTTTGTTCTGGTATAGCACGTTGCATTGTACATAATCGAATATCATCTTCCTCATAATTCAAACTAATGGTTTCATCAACAGATGCTAAATCTACGTAATATATCATAGAAAATAGACAAACTTTATTGTCATACAGTCAATAAAGGTGTTCTGTCGAAAATAAACTATTAGATTTATTGAGATTGAACCTCCAACATTCATGATTTAGTTCTGTTATTCTTACTCAACAGATTTTTCAAGCTCGGTTCAAATCAATTCTGGAGATTTTTATTTTGTCATCCTATGTAACACAATAGTTGAGTTATCATGCAAATTTTATATCACCCTTTGCATTTGTATATAAACCAGAACCAGGGGTCGCAGCGGCCTAGTATGCAAAATCAGGAATCAGGACAGGAATTTTCAAGAAAAAAATCAGGATTTGACCGAATAAATCAGGATTCTCAAAACATAGGCATTATTCATCGAAAATGCACATCATTTCGCAATAGGAATTACGAAATGTCAAATGGCATTTATTCTCTACTCTATTCCAGCAGTTGACAACATCCTTAAAATGGAAAATCGTACCATTTCCCACAGAAAACCTGTACTCCATGGAATTTTAAGAGAAAATCGTTCTCCCATTGCGTCAGTGTTTCGAAAGCATAACGATCACGTAACATAGATAGCTTAACTCTTAGTGAAACAATTAAACAAAGCACGAAATAACAAAACAAAAAAGCTGAAACATTGTGATGATTTGCAACTCGTCGATAAGCAATCGTAAAATCAACATATATTTCGTTCTAGAAGGTCGAGTGTCAGCAGAAATCGTTAATTCCAAGCAGACATTGTTGAAACATCATCATGATGTCCCAACGATATTCTCTGGACTAGACTAGAATAACCCTAAGTTGGCTCGCTTGCCTGGGCCTTTAAGGACTGAGTTATGGCCACTTTATTGGATTTTAGTCCTATGAGGCCAGGTTATCTGCAACAGCAAATATGCGGATTTCGACCTGAAATTTTGTCTATAAATAAATCTAATGCCCACTAAGATACCTTAAAAGTTTCAGACAAAACGAATGCATCCTTCTTAAGATGTTGAATATCCAAATATTGCGATTTTTGTGAATTTTTCTCTGAGAAATAGACAGTTTTTTGAAAACTAAATATCTCAAGGATGCATTCGTTTTGTCTCAACGTTTTAAGGTATTCTCATGGCTATTAGATTTATTTATAGACAAAATTTCAGGGCGAAATCCACATATTTGCTGTTCCAGATAACCTGGTGTCATAAGTTTAGAATCCATAATAAATCAAGTCCAAATTGCCGAGCAAGCAAGCGAACTTAAGGTTATTCTAGTCCAGAGGCCCCAAGATATAGCCAAAATATCAGGTCAAAAGCAAGGGAACACCTTGAAACGTTCCTTCGCGAGATTCGTCGACGGCAATCCAACGAAGAGAGTTAATCATTCATCGGAATCCCGACTTTCAGATCTACTAACTAACCAAATTGTGCCTGTCTATTCTTTTTCTTACTGAATAATGACACAAGATTTTGTAGGAATCTTGTAAAAAAAAAGATGAATTTTTTCATATATTCATCGACATTTTTAAGTTCATAAAGAACTTTATCTATTCTTCAAACAAGATGAACAACGCGATCATTGAAAAAAGCAGTATGTTCATCAATTCAAGACAGAATTTCTGCACGCCTTCACTAAAACTAAGCCGAAATTTTCTAGAAAAAATATTTAGTTTCGAAAAGCACAAAACATCAGGAAAATCAGGATCTTGTAGCAATATCAGGATGAATCAGGATGACTTCGAAAAATTAGGAAAAAATCAGGAAATCAGGATCACTGCGAGGCCTGCAGAACGCTTAAAAAATATTCGAACTACCTTGGAAAGTAAAAGAGTCGTTTTCTTCCAAAAACATGCTTGAATGATACGTGACTGATTATTGTATTCGTACAGGATTATACAGATGGTAAATTTTTGAACAGGATTCCCCTTTTCCGAGGTTTATAAAGGACGAATTGACAAGTTTTTCAAACCTTTTAGGACTTACAAATAATAATACGTAGAACGAATATTATTTGAGATTCAACGCATCTTAAGACTGTTGTTTCGGAAAAATAAGAGATGAAAGACTTCAAAATAATCTCAAGCTTTGTAGTCCACTGCAAAAATCCACACAGCAGTTTTTAGGACTGGAATTTTTTCGTAACAACTAGGATAAAATCTGACTTGGTGTTGTTTTTCTTTTTCTGAAAAATATTTTTCCTGAGACTCAGTAAACTCAACATATTGACGACACTCGTCGAATGGCATTCAGAAATTTACTAAATTTCATAGGTAGACTTTTTTCAAAAGAGAAAAAAGTATGCATTAAAATCGAATCAAAACAACCAATAGAACAGTTTGAGTCAAATTGGTCGTAAGATGTAAAAACAACAAGCCGAAAAAAATTTTGTTTTTAAAATCTAATTTTTCAGAAAGCAGGATTTTTAAAGCTTTCTTTAAATATAAAATAATTTATCACTGCCGAAAATCTTCTCATTAGATAGATAGTATTTATACATACATAATAAACATGAAAATAAAAAACAAAAAAAACTGAAAATTTTTTGTAGAAAAAGGGTTTCATTTCGAGGCTAGCACTTTTATTTGCCAATGAAAAAAATAAATGATAGAGCGAACCTTAACTATCATTACTTATTAGCATCGATGAATCTTGGTCAGCTCGTCCTCCTTGCAAAAAAAGATTGAAAAGAGATGCTTTTATTTACCATAATGCGTTTCAATCAATGCTTGAACCATTTCGGGTGGATCAAAACCCCAATTAGACGTTTTCTGAATATTACCGCTGTTATCAAGGTATGCAATTATGCAGCCAAAGTCTGTGACATTGATATCTGCACCTGTACCTTGAGCTTTTATATCAGCAAGTTTACTGAGAGGCACAAGAATATAATGCCATGCTGGTTTTTCTCTATCTGTGCCACGAATGATGTATGCAGAATCGCCGAGCTTTTGTTCTGTTATAATTGTTTTAGGCCTATTTGCATAGCTTGTAAGTGAGTTCTGTAAAAATTAAATAAGATCTTTACTTTAGTAATGAAAAAAAAGAAAATATTTTTGTTTTCTATCTCAATTAAATGGTAGTGAATTGTATCGTTTTTAAGTTTTTTCCAAATTTACTGCGCATTCGAACGAAAAGGTCATGAGTATTTAATAAAATTTTATTTATTGGATCTCAATTTAATCTAGATGTTCGTTCTCAATAAATATTTCTAGAGCAGAATGTTACCTGTAATTTTGCGTAAAATTTTGCCATCGAACAATATCAAAAGTGTGTGTATGTCTAAATCAATCAAGATTGCTAGTATCAAACAAACAAGAGTTCTTTTACGAATTTTATTATATACTGTCATTGTTATGAATAATCAACTGACGAGTAAGAAAGATTATTATCTAAAGAGAAAGTTGGATATCACCATTGGCAAGTAGATGACATTGACTAGTGTGTTATTTTTCTATTTTTTGTGTCAACAAATGATAACAGATAATAATTTGTCTCTCACATTTCGCGAAATTTAGAAGTCTTTTTTTTTATTAACAATGATAATATATTTTTAAAATTTGTTAAGTCATATCATGAAAAACAATAACTTAAAAGTTCAGGTGAAAAATGATATAGATCTTTTATAAAAAAACGTTAAGGTGACAGTATGCGGAGTTAATCAAGTACTACAGCACATAAATACCTTGTTTATTAAATGCAAAGCAACAAAAAAAAAAGCAATAATCATAAAAACTGATGAAAATGTATTTTATTTGATGATTCATTCCTTATCAAAATTATATATGTTTAAATCATTTTGAATTCAGTCGACAATGCAAAATTTTTTTTTTTCGTTGGAAGTTACCTAAAAGATCTCATCAAACAAAAACATGTTTCCAATGTTCATACTTTTCATTCCAACTATCTTTCTTAAAAGGATCATTAAAATATGATCAATAAATAAAGTGAAAAGTTCGTGCCAATATTAATAATAATTATATTAAGTGAAATTTATTTAAACATTGTTTCATTCAATATCAGACAAAAAAACATAATGTATTGTTTATAAATGTAATGTTTGTACAACTGTAAATGAACAGCTCATTCAAGAGAATTTGACCTGCAAAAATATGTAAAGTTACCAAACAAGTCTTTTAAGTGTGATTGACTTGTTTAAATTTATCTCGAGGCATAATTGGTTTTACGAGAAAACAGAAAAATCTTTTCTATAACACAAGTAACGCTCATGATTCCAACTCTCTTAGGGTATGAACGAGAGTCTGGATGGAAATGTCGACCAGCATGCTATGTAGTGCTGCCCTTTACCTACTCAATCAACTACACTCATACTCATATGCCAAAAAATCTACTATCTGTTCCACTCGCATACTGAGACAGCAAATTGACATTCAAAACCAACACATTTATACCCAAACTGTGAGATCATCCTAACAATGGTGAAACTATTCGAGATCATATGGGCGTGGACTTTGATCTTCTCTTCACTTTTGTCCTCAAACATCGAGCTAAAAATGGATGCCAAGATTTCCAAAAGAAAAAATTTTTCATACTACTTCCGACAATATCGTAAATATGTTTTAATATTGACTCGTACTTAATTGTAGTTATGAAAAATTTCAACAAAAGAGAACGTGAACACAAAGATAAGTAGCAATCTATACACGGCTGATTTTTTTGACAGGCATTAACGCGGAAGAGTGATATGGACTTTTGATTTACCGGCGCCACGAATTCGAATCGAAGCACCTTTGTAATAATTATTGTCCAAACCAGCTTCATGAAGGCTAATTGAGATCTTGCGATGAATGAGTGCTTTGCAAAAATCGCCTGTTGTAAGATCAATCAATGTGGCATCACATTGAACAGGATAGCTCTCTCGACACGTATCGACTTTTAGACGAAATTTGTGTTTAGTGCAACCTCCAGAATAGCGAACATTTATTTCAATCTTTTTAGTCTTGGCATTGTAACTTCCACTTTGAATATATGGCATGTTCTGTGTCAGCACTATTGCAAGGCAACACAGAACAGTA